TTTCTTCAATGCTATGTACTTTTCTACATACTTATTGACATGAAACATCATCCGTTTGTCACTGATGACTTTGTAGCCAGTTTTTCTCCAAGGAATTAAGATTCCGGAAAGGATACAACTGACATTGCAAAATTCATTGTTTGTTATGCATTTTAATCTATGAAGAACTTCCGTAAATTAAAAACATAACTTATTAAATTATCTTTACTATATTGACATGAAACATGAAATAACGTTCTTATCTATTGATTTCTTAAGCTAAAAGCTTACTGGAAAGTTTTGGACATTAAAGGACAAGCGATAAGATCCTTCAGTGCTTTCTTTGGAAATTGTTCTCTTAAAAATAAGTAGCGTTGGATAACGTGAATCCTTAGGGGCAGCTGGTTTGTTTCCATTCTATCCAGAGTGACGTTAACTAGGAACATGTTCTTGCGACTCGATCTTCTTTTTTTAAACCCCTACTTGGGACAGGGATACACCTCAGATACTTTTGTTGTCATAGCTAGCTTTAAAACAAAATTTCGTAATGTTACTTATTGATCATAATGTTAATCACTATAAACATTTTCATAATTTGTATGAAGTTTAAAATTTTTTAAAAGTTCATTTAAAATATTATAAATGTTTAAATAACCTAACTCATTTAACTATAATTATAAAATATAACATGCATTATTATGTTATGTTGTTATAATAAACTTACTTGAGGTGGAAATAATAGATTTTTTAAAATTAAAAATTGTTAAGTAGCGCGATAAAAAAATTGTTTTCTAAACTGCGCTTTTTTAAAATATTACCCGATTTTTGCGTTTCTAAAGTACCACCTGGTAACAAGTATGATAATAATAAAAATGCGCACAATCGGTATGGATAAAAAACCTTCCATTCTTTGTATTGACGCAGTTAAATTGTTTAAGGTTTATAAATTTCTATTCGCGCTGATCATTTAAAACTGCCAATAAAAACTCAAAAAATGTAAAAAAGTTAAACTTTAAACGAATGGCGCGAGAATAAATACTCATCCAGAAAAAAAAAAAAATATGGCCTAATATATATATATATATATATATATATATATATATATGTATATATATATATATATATATTACAAAAAACAAAGTTAGATAAATATTTTTTTTGTTAATACTATTTTTAAGGCGTCTTTGTTTACAAAAAGTATGCACTCATTGGTAGACTGGGTTCTAAAAAACAACTAACAAAAACATAAACAACAAAAACATAAAGCGCTCTTAAACTTGCCGGACTATGTATATTATGACTATGATATATATTTAAATATATATATATATATATATATATATATATATATATATATATATATATATATATATATATATATATATATATATATATATATATATATATATATATATATATATATATATATATATATATATATATACATATATATATATGCATATATATATATATATATATATATATATATATATATATATATATATATATATATATATATATATATATACATATATATATATATATATATATATATATATACCAATGAGTGCACACTTTTTGTAAACAAAGACGTCTTAAAAATAGTATTAACAAAAAAAATGTTCATTTAACCTTGTTATTTGTAAATGCCTGGTGTTAATTGTTTCATTTTTGGACGTGGTACTTCTCAAAGAAATAAAGGTGTTTCACTTTTTAAAATACTATCCTCCGATAACGATTTCAATAAAAAATGGAGAATAAAATTTTTGAATATCATACTAAGGATAGAGTAGTCGATAAAAGCCTAAGGTCCCAAATAAATAAAAAATTATTGTTTGATTGTGAAAAGCATTACGAAGCTAATATGTTAATTGTTTATCCAAATAAAACAACTTTAAAACCAGGTTCACTACCAACATTAAATCTTCCAGTTAAAACAATTCCATATTCTTCTTCGTGTATATTTAATCCTAAAGCACGAGCATCAGCTTCTTCTATATGCCTAAAGAAATCAACTATACTTTCTGTTTTACATGAAGCTGTTCATAATAAATCATATAAATCTTTTAAGGAGTTCGTGAAACGTGTTGGTTTACAAAAACTTGATTGGAATGTAAATATTAGACACTTTTTCAAAATTTAGTAAGATGGACGATATTCATACAGTTCCTAAGTACGAAATTTATATTGATGATAGCCTCTCGTTTACTATTCATATATTTTTATGGGCTCTGCCAGATAATCATGAAATATACTTGCATCTAAAACGATCAATGTTCAATACAACTGTTTGTAACCTTATTTCAGTTTTGCTGTCATATATAGTATGTCCAGGTATCCCAGATAAATTAATTAGCTCTCATGGCTATCTTCTTCATGTTATACCTTAAAACATTGATTTATTTAATAATTATTATTTACCTTTAAACCAAACAGAACATACCCGAGCTCTTTCATGTGATGTTATTATTAAAAAAAAAAGAATTTGTAAAGGATGCCAATGCCTTCAGTCTCAAAACCAAATATCTTTTAAAAAAAATAGTGATAAATTACTTATTCCATCTAAACTTAGAGCTCCAATTTCTAAAACTGCGCCAAAACATATAAAACTAACCTTGCAAAGTTACCGTTTAGAAAATAAATTGCTTAAAGATAAAATCAAAGAAATGCAACAGGAAATAATTAATCATCCCATCTTGTCAGTGATGACCTACACAAAGACTTGGTTTCAATCATATCAAAAAATGATAGTACAGTCACTCCATTTTATTTTAGGATGTTATTTCCAAGTTATTTTAGCATGAACAACAAAAATACTTAAATACTTCAAAACAGGGAATTCGTTATCATCCAATTATTATTCGCTATTGTTTACGTCTTGTTTCAAAGTCGCCTGGTGCTTATGAGGAAATTCGTTTTAATTAAAAAACTAATTCTGGTTTTGTCGTTTTACCAAGTCAAAGGCGTCTAAGAGACTACAAAAACTATATCCGACCACAAAGAGGTTTTAACTATGAAATTGTGAATGAACTAAGTTTAAAGGTGAAGAATTTTTCTGATCTAAAACGGTTTGTTACACTTTTATTAGATGAAATGAAAATTGAACAAAATTTGGTATGGGATAAATATTCTGGTGATCTTATAGGATTTGTTGGCCTTGGTTATACTAATATTAACTATGCAACTCTGAATAAGGTTGATGAAATTGCAACACATGTTCTTGTTTTTCTTGTAAGAGGTATTGTAAACCCTTTTAAATATAGTTTTGCAAACTTTGCTTCAACAAATATTCAAGCTATTCAGTTATTCCCCTTATTTTGGAAACATGTCAGTATTTTAGAGCTTTCATGTAATCTAAAAGTAATGGCTACTACAAGTGATGGGGCCTCATGTAATCGTAAATTTTTTTCTATGCATTTTCATATGACAGAAATACAAGATAATAATAAAAATATTAAATTTACTTATCGCATCAAAAATAAATTTGCTGATGATGATCGATATACATTTATCATAGCTGATCCTCCACATTTGATAAAAACTGCTCGAAATTGCCTTTTTCATTCTGCTTCAGGTAAAGGGAGGTATATGTGGAATACTGAGGTTATTTTCCTTAAAACATATAAGGTTAAGCCCATTTTCCAAAATGAATGTAAGATTAGCAGCTCAATAATTTTTTTGATTGTGTCAATGTGAAAAATATTGTAGATTGCACTAGAAAGCAAAATCCATTTTCTGAACCATTTTGTTTGATAAGTGATAAAAGACTGACATAGTTGACTGAAGTTTTTTTTTTAATATTTTGAAGAATGGAAATTGTCTATAGATCAAAGACCTGGAAATTTCGCTAGACTGATAGAGGGAATATGTTTTTATCTTAGCAAACATTTGAAGGTATCAATATCACTGTCCATTCAGTTGTTGATTTAGTTAAATATCTTTTAAATATTGGTGTCCAATATGTTTTAACTGAACGGCTTTGTCAAGATTCGTTAGAAAACTATTTTGGCCAACAGCGAGCTATTGGAAGAAGAAAAGATAACCCATTTTACATAATATTGGCTATAATGACAATGCAATAAGAAACCAATGTACCTTCAAACCAATAATAGGAACTAATAATCTTAATAATGACCCTGAACCAAAGACTTTCATCAAAGAAAAATTACCACGCCGAATTGGAACCAAAAAAAAGGTCGACAAAAAAAGGAAATTAAAAACGGCTATTTTCATAGCCAAAAACATTATAAAGGCTTTATTTGGTATAAAATATTTTATTTTAATTGTTGTTGTTTTTAACAGGGTGTGAATAGGAAGGGATGTCTTATAAAAATGTATATATATATATATATATATATATATATATATATATATATATATATATATATATATATATATATTTATATATATATATATATATATATATATATATATATATATATATATATATATATATATATATATATATATATATATTTATATATATATATATATATATATATATATATATATATATATATATATATATATATATATATATATATATATATATATATATATATATCTAAATATGAATACTGTAAAAATTCAATGTTCAATGTTCAATGTCGTTTCGCTTTCGTTTTTAAAGCAGTTTTAATTAGTTACTAGGCTTTTCTGAACTTGAAACAGCGCGTTCTCAAAATGCAAGCGGTTATTAGAGGAAGATCTTTCAACCGAGTTAAAACTTTTTACCTTTAGAATTGAATTAATATTAAGATTAGTTTAGAAATATTACATAAAGAATCATATTAAGATAAATAATCATCGTTAAGATCATATTATAATAATCATCGTTAAGATCATATTATAATAATCATCGTTAAGATCATATAAGCATTGAAAATAGTTTCGCAATTTATACATAATATTTTTTATTAAAAATAAAATAAAAAGGATCACTCCTTTTAATTTTTTAAATCGTTTACATTTTGTTTGTTTTTTATTGAGCATATCTTCTATTTTTTAAAAGGAAGATAGAGGTAAGGATGAGGTCTAATTATTTTTTTATGCAACAAAAAAGTTATACTAATGCAACAAAAAAGTTATACTAATTTCAATAAAATTGGTTATTACTACCATGAAATTTCTGTGATGCTATTAACTGTTTTTGCTCTTTTTTAGAAAATTTAGAAAAATAAATTGAAATTTCGTGCCACTACTGACATGTCACATGTTATTGTATGTAAAGATTAAATTTTTGTTATGAGAACTACAGTTCTTATGAAAGAAAAAGGTAAAGAGTATTGTTTGTATATAAATATTTATATTTTGTTTACTTTGAATCTTTTAAAATTTTTTCATGCCATTTTTAAAATTTTTGTTTGCATAATTCAAGTTATATGTTTATTGTTTGCATTGCTTTTTTGATAATTATGTGTATATTGTAAAATGTGCTTTATAGCTTTTTTTATCAATGTGTTTTTATAATAATGTAACATGTTTTTTTATTGTTTGTGTATTTGTTAATATAAGTTATATAATTGTTTTATAAAAGTGTATAAATATGTTTATATATGTTTTCAAATTGCTGTGAATTGGTAAACGTGTTAAGCAAGGTTTGTCAACCTTGCCAGCCAAGTCACTTACTGCAAAGGCCCTTTGCAGTAAGTGACTTGGCTGGCTAACCCTTTGAAAGGGTTACAAAGCAGTGTTTCGTTTCAAACTGTTACTGCTTTAGGTCTAGGTGTTTTCAAGCCTTTATTAATAATTACTCTTAAAATACTTAATGTATTTTAATAACATTTTGCGTAATGTTGTTACTGATATATGCATATTATATGAACTTATGGTGAATGCTATTGTTGTTGTGATGTTGCTTTTTTGTAATCTTTTGAGTTGATATACATTTGGTTTACCTTCAAGTTGTTGTCTACTGTTAAAAATGATACATAGTTAATTTCATTATTAGACCTCACTGCATTTAATCATTCACTAAAATTAATATTTAGATTCACTAAAAGCCTACTACTACTTCTACTACTCTGGTAAATCACATCAGCTTTATCAGGTACAATGATTTCTTTTTTTTGTATGTAATTTTTTTCTTATTTACTTATTTGTTACATTTTTTATTTATCAAATGATGTATTTATGTGGTATAGAAAAACAAAATATTGTTAAGTTTAGTGAATTTTTTAAAAATTTTTACTAATATTTTTTTCAAATAAATAATATTGAAGTTTGCTTAAAAGGGTTTTACTACGTTTTTTTTTTTAATTTTTCTATATTAGGAGTTTTCATTTTATTATTTTTAATGCAAATATCTATTTTTTATTATATTATTATTTTTTCTTTAGATCTAAATTGGAGCAGCTACAGACTATATTGCTCCCAGCACCCAGGACCACTCTGAGAGGTCCATTAACAAATGTTGCAGTAATAATGGTATGGAATAGCCCTCTTTCAAATGGAGGGCTCATCCATACAGGGGTGCTGGGAGGCACCAAGTAAAAAATAGCAACAATTTTTTAATATATTCAATCAGTGAAGATATTAACTTTTTTAGTATTAATTTTTTTAATATTAATTTTTTTGTTGCTGGTTTTTCCTTGGTTTTTATTTTCATTAAAAAAATATATATTCTAAATTGTTTGTTTTTATTTTTTTAGTATTTGTTTAGATTATTATTTATAGTTTTTATTACTTTAATTTTTGATTCACAATATTACATGGCTATTATATTGCTTCGAATATATACCATATCAGTTAATCATTTTTGAAAAAATGTACTGCAGCAATTTATTAATTATAACAAAAATCACATTTAAATTTGTAATATTTTTAAGTTATAATTTTAAACTAATTAGTTGATTTCCAGCAGATTTTATTTCTTTTGATTGTTTGAATTTAATAATTTAGTGTTTATAGCTTTTAACTTATGTTAAGCTTTAATAAATTTAATCTTCTGTTTTTAATGTGTAATAAATAATATAAAATATTGGAAAAAAGATTAAGTAATAAAAAAGCAGATAATTAATCTTTGATAAACTTTGTCATGTTGCTTATTATATGTTGGCATTTCAGTGATGCTGTTAAATTTTTTTTTTTCTTTAGAATTTAGAAAAATGAATTAAACTACAACTTTTGAACAGTCATTGTTTGTGAAGGTTAAATTATTTGCATGTTTTTTATACAATTTTTTTATAGAAATAGTATTAAAGTTTACTAAAAGGGGTTTACAAATACTTTACTTTTTATTTTTTGTCTTCTTTTTTTTGTATTAACAGTACCCTTTATCATTAAATTTTTTATTATTTTTTTTTTATTACTATTGGTTAACTTTTTTATTTACATTATATTTATAAGTTTATTTTTTGTTTAAACATCTTTTAACGGATATATTTAAAAAAATGTTTTTATAAAAAACTCGCAATATTGTTGTATAATTTGGTTTATTTTAAATGAAAATTTCTTATGTAATGTTTTAAAAATTATTCTTTGTGTGTGTGCAATTTAGAGAAGTAAAAAAAAAATCACAATCTTCAAGATTCTTTTAAGATTTTTTGTTACTACTATTAATTAAAAGTGAAGTTTAAATGGATGATATAAGGCTAGAAGTGGCTATTAGTTTAGAAAATGATGGAAATGTTATTAAGCAAGTTGAAAATAATCGTCGCAGAAATGCAAGAAATAGGCTGAGGCGGGATGAAATTAATAATCAATACAATGCTAGATATGCTGCATGGCAAGCCATGAATAATTTAAATCAAAAAGAGGACAGTGTGATTAGGCAAGTTGAAAATAGTCGTCACAGAAATGCAAGAAATAGGCTGAGGCAGGATGAAATTAATAATCAACCGAATGCTAGATATCCTGCTAGGCAAGCAGCATGTACTTTGAACTGAAATAGGGAGAAAAAAGGGCAAGATAGATGTCACTATAATCTCCGTTCACATAATGAAGTTGCATTTTTTGGTGAAGATAGTGCTCCACCTACTTCCAGTGAAGTTGTTATTTTCCCAAGAGGTCATCCTCTTAAAATATATCAAGTATGTCTGCCAAATTAGAGCCTATGGTTTGTTCTTTATTTTTTCTAAGGGGTGATGCTGGTTGGCATAATCAATTGGTTTACAACCCTGAACGTGCTACATTGATTAGAAATCACGTTACATTATCTCAGTATTATAGTTATAGACTTTTAGTTGGACAATTAACTTAAACAAACAAAATAGGTGAAGTGATTTTTAGTAACTTCAGATCTCTTTGTTGTTATTTTTTTATTACTATTAGAAGGGTTAATAATAAAAGTTTTTAGGCAGTAGAACTGGTACTGATTTAGTAAGTCTGCTATATTTTTTTACTTAATATTTTCATTAGATTTAATAGGTTTTTTTAATTACTTTGGAGTAAAATATATTGAGTAATATTACTTCATTTTTTACACTTTTAGATTATGTATTGTTGTCTAGATTCTTTGTTAAATTACAATTTATTGATGTAAATAAATTTTTATTTTTATTTTTGATAGACAACTTTTAATCGAAAAATAAAAATCTAAGGAGGCGTGAGCTTTCTATTAAATGCTTATCCACGGTGCTCTGTGATAAGACCTTGAGGACTTCTTGGAGCACCTAAAATAAAATTAGAAAAAAAGTTGTTGAAATATAAGAAATGCTGCTCGGCGAGCAGAAAACTTACTTGCCAGAATTCAATGTCAAGCGGTGTTAATGTGTGTTTATTTGATTTTATTTTAAACACTTTAAAACAATTTAAATCAAATAGTTTTAAATTTAAATGATTTTAAATTTTTTTATAAATTCAAACGTAATTATGTTCTTTCTTTTTTAGTTGCCTTTGTTATCACTTGATTAGTTTGCTTACTGTTGAAACATGGTTTTAATTTTTTAAATTTAATGATATGAAATTTACTCTATTAATCATTAGTTGACAGTTAAAGAGAAGCTGGAGCTTTACATAATAAAGGTAAAAATAATTTTGTTTACTCTTAGATAAGAGTTGAAAGAGAGTTAGTGCATGGAGCATCAATAAAACTTATATAATTAATTTTTAGTTTAAAAAAAAGTAATTATATAAGTTTTATTAATGCCACAATTGATAACGACCATGTATATAAAAAATTTTATGAGCTGCTTGGTATTTTAGGATAAAATTGTTCAATATTGTAATCAATAAAATCTTTTTAGCTCAAGTATTTTAGTTGATAAAATATCTTAAGTTGTGGTGTTATACGTTATTACGTTATTTACTACGTTAAGTTGTCTAGCCTTTATATAATCTTTTTTTTTTTAATCATTTTGGAGAAACATAGTAATGTGTGCTTACAAATATCTTATGCTATGCGCTATTGTTAATGTGTTTTGTGTTGATAGAACTGGGCTATTACAGCAATTTTTTTAAGTCGTTATATCTTTATTCTATCAACAATAAAATGCAAATAATACTTTGTAATTATTTTTCGTTCCTTTTTTTAATTATTTTTCGTTCCTTTTTTTAACCCTGAAGGCTTTACTTGACTTTCTTTTTATGGTACCTGCTGTGTTTTAACAGATCTTAAATAGAACTTTACGGATGTTAACGTAGTCTTTTTTGTTGGTAACCGTAAGCAATTATTTATTTACTAATAACCCGTATTACGGGTTGCTTACTGCTAGTATATATATATATATATATATATATATATATATATATATATATATATATAATATATATATATATATATATATATATATATATATATATATATATATATATATATATATATATATATATATATATATATATATATATGTATATATACTTATTTTTAATTATTTAAATAAGACATAAGTAGTAATGATTACATTATTTGATATTATTACTTAAAAAAAAACTTACATAAATTCGTTTGGTTTTCACTTAAATACTTATTGCATCTCTTCATTGTGCTGCAATATAGTTCGTATGCTAGATATGTTTTTAACAAAATTTGGCTATGAAAATAACCTTTTTTAAATGTGTAATCTTTATTCAGTAGAGGTTAATGATACTTTTTTGATTTCTTTTCATAACGAGTTTGTTCTTTTCTTTTTAGTCTTGATTTTATGCAAGTTTACAAACTCTTCGGAATAGGAAAATGAGCGAACACGGAAATAAAGTGTAAAATGGTGGTCTAAAAGATTGAGAGACATTTCTGTAGATACTTTAGTAGAACTAGCATATCAAATTCTTGAAAAGTAAGATAAAACCTCGACATCTTGAGGCTATTCCATTGCCATCTTGCTGCAGTCAATATTTTTACTCAAAATTTTTGTAGAATTTCTTCTGCTATTCTAAATAGTGAAAAAGCATCAGATGATATAAACCAAAGACCACCTCTATTTTTAAAACTAAAAAATTTTCTATTAGTTTAATGATACTCTTCAAATTCATTTTCTACAATTTTTCCAGCCAACAAAATTAAAAGTGTTTCGTGACCAAATCTACTTTGCCAAACTTTTGAATAACGTATCCTTCGATAAAAGGTACTAAATACATATCCCCACAAATATTCAATTAATGTTTTTCCTTTTTCTGTAAACTGAATTGCATTGTCAAAAACTAAAATTGAGGCTGCGTTTTTAGACTTCGTTAATATGATTATCAAAATCATATCCCACAAGAGTTAAGGTTTTGTCTGTAAGATTTTTTAAAAATGATTTTTGACCAGCAACTTTGTAAAACTTTGGAACAAAAACTTCCGCGTCACCATTAATATTTTCAATAACATCTTTTATCAAGTCAAATGAATGCTTTGCATCATCTTCTGAGAATATGTATTTTGAAAATTCATCTCCAATATGTGGAGGGTAGCAAAAATTGTTTGTTTATATATGTACATATTTATGAATGGATATAAACAGGTATCAAAATGTTTAAAAATTTACTGTAGTAAAATTTTTCAATTAAGTATAATGGCTGTTAATAAAGCGAAAAGACAAGAGTGGGAAGAAATAGCAATGGAAAATGCTTTAAGAAGTATTAAGGAAAAAGAAATGGGATCGTTATTAGCAGCTAAAACTTTTAATGTCCCAGCCACAATGTTGCGTCGAAGATAAAAAAAAAACAAGTTTTTAAGAAAACAGATTTGGGAGGTCATAGAACAATATCAAGTCATTCCATCAAAGAAGAATTAAATATTCATATAATTGATATGGAGACAAGGTTTTTTGGTCTTAAAACAAAAGATCTACGTCGACTGGTGTTTGAAAAAAAAAAATCATATAAAGCATAATTTTAATAAGTGTTTTAGAATGGCAGTTAAAAAATGGTTGACTGGATATTTATAACGTAATCCTAACATCTCACTGAAAACACCAGAAAATACGTCATTTGCTAGAGCACAGGCTTTTAATTAAAAAAATATCAACTGCTATTTCACAGCATTATCAATGATTATGGAACAGTACAAATTTTTTATTGAAAATATATACAACGTTGACGAATCAGGGTTAAGTACTGTGCAGAAAAAACCACAAAAGATATTAG